GGCTTGGTTATGTTTGCTTCACTATCTGGCAGGAGAGTCTGTTAGTTTAAGCTTAAGGCCAGAGAGAGCACAAGGCAGAGTTTGTGGAGATTTCAGTCATTTAGCCTGGAGTCTTCTTATCCAGGACTTTTCTCAATGTATTTTTTTGTTTGTTTGTTTTTGTTTTTTGGTCCTTGCTGCCCATTTTGAATGCTCCACCTCGTGCTTTACTGTTATTCCTACTCTTATTCCCATTTCCCAACAGGCTGTGTCCCACAATGTCTTGACATTAGGCTTTAGCCTAGTATTTCTGACAGTCATCATCCTACATATTCCAAACATAAAGTACAATAACAGTGTGTACACATCATCAGGAACTCACATAAACATAACCAACACTACGACTCTTTCACGATAAAGCCTGCTCTTACAGCCCACCGATGACCACATAACTGAGTTCAAATCAGACGACATGTAAGTTACACAACAATATTAAGGAAAACATCAGCAGCAGAAAAACCATTACGCATCCAGTGCTCAAGTCATTTATTTCATTTTCAGTCAGGAAGGAAAAAGCAAAAAATATATATTTACAAGAAAATTACACAGAAGCCTCAACAATTAAATATTGTATCATATTTTTCAGTGTTCAGTGTGTCACTCTTTTGCCTTATTACAGCTTCCATTCTTCTCAGGAGACTTACTTTCAGTACAGGCCTTCTATTAAATGTCTTTTTTTTAAAAAGAAAGCACCACATTGGTTGTTGGTGTATGTTATATGGACAAAAGTCCTAATTATTGAGTTCAGGTGTTTCTGCCACACTCTTTGCTAACATGTACATAAAATTAATCACATATGCAATCTCCACAGAAAAACACTAGAAGATACCAAAAACCTCAGTGACTTTAAATGTGGCACTGTCACAAGTCAGTTTGTGAAATTTCTGCCCTGCTAGATCTGCCCTAATCAACTGTGAGTGCTATTATTGTGAAATGGAAGACTCTAAGAGCAGCAACAGCTCAGCCATGAAACAGCAGACATGCTGACTCACAGTGCAGGGCCGCTCAGTGCTGAAGCATGTTGCACATTAAAATCGCATCAATCAATACCGAGTTCTACACTGTTTCTGGAAGCAACATCAGCACAAGAACTGTGCATCGGGAGCTTCATGGTTTTCAAGGCTGAGCGGCTACACACAAGACTAAGATCACTATGTGCAATGCCAAGCGTCAGCTGAAGTGGCGTAAATCACACCACCACTCTGAAGTGGTGGAAACATTCTGTGGAGTGATGTATCACACTTCACTATCTGGCAGTCTGATGGACAAATCTGGGATCTAGGACAAATCAGAGGATGCACAGTTTGGTGGAGGAGGGATAATGGGCTGGGGCTGTTTTTCAGAGTTTTGGGCTAATGCTAAGTGAGCTCCATAAATATATGGTATGACGAATTTGGATGAATGGAACATGAATTGCAAGACAGGCCTTCTCATCTAACATCAGTACCTGACCTAACAAATGGTCTTTTGACAGAATGGGCACAAATTCCCACAGATACCCTCCAAAATCTTATGGAAAGCTTCCCAGAAGAGTGGAGGCTTATAGTCGCAATGGCGATCAAATGGGTTAATGCCTATGGTTTTGGAATGGAATATCCACCAAGATCAGACCTGATGTGATCAAGTCAAGTCCAGTCAAAGTTTATCTATATAACGCTTTTTACAACAGGTGTTGTCACAAAGCAGCTTTACAGAAAAATCCAGGTCCGAGCCCCCATGAGTGTCGCCAATGGCAACTGTGGCAAGGAAAAACTCACTAAGAGCAAGAGGAAGAAACCTTGAGAGGAACCAAGACTCAGAAGGGGAACCCGTCCTCCTCTGGTCGACACCGGATAGCAAACAGTGTTAGTATAAAATATTATAATACAAAACAGGGAAAAACAGGTGGAGCAATGGTTAATTAGATAGTTTGAGTTTATGCAGCAGCAGCAGGAGGGTCAGTTCATGAGAGTGAGGTTTGAAGGCCAGGTGTCCACATACTTTTTAATTAACAGTCAAGAAGGGGCACTAACTTGCTAAACTGTGTGTTTGTATAAAAACAGAGATTTATTCCAGGCTCTGTAGAGCTCTGAACTAGAGTTGTAACTCATAAACTCAAAACTCAGCTTCAAATCCCTGTTCAAGCAGTAACAATGCATTTCAGCCTGCCTTTGAAAAACTCTTAACGAGACCAAAACCAAAGTTATAAAATCACTAAAAAAAACGGGTAGAATAGCTGTAACATGTGCTGCGTGGAGATCCATCACCACTGGATCTTATTTCACCATAACTGCATTTTGTCACAGATGAGTAGCAGCAGCTTCTCATGCTCCAATCGAGAGCACTGAATGAGAGCCTTCTAGTTCACTTGCCACATCACTTCCATTTGATTTATTAAAAAAGATACCGGAAGTAAATTCATTATGGATCATTACAAATACTTTGCTTTAAAAACACTGAGTCACTTGGTCACTTTAAAATGTATATTGTCTGTATATTCTCTGTATATTTTGGGTATATTTAATATATTGTAGTTGGTTTTTCGAGATGCATCGATAATCGTTTTATAATCGCATCGCAGCCCTCTGAATCGTAATCAAATCGATCGGTTTGGTGTCTTCAGTCTACTGTCATAACATAAACACAGTTTAAGAGTCAAGTACATAGCGTTTTATTCCTGCAGGGCAAATTTCTGCACCCCTCAAATTAAATCCGTACAAACACATTTTACTAAAAACCAACAGAGTGACACATGGCACACGCCCCTGTTTAAGGCTTTATACAGGTGATATCATCTAGTCAATATTTGCAGAGTCATTAATGAATTTTCTAAGAGTAAACATTTGAGTTTAATGAAGAAATTTGATTGTCATGTTTAGTTCTTTTTTTATGTAATATAATCATATTTTTCACTGATTTCATTGATAAAATGGTTGGAAACAAAAGGGTTAAATACTTGAAACAGTCAACAGAAAATGACCCAATCACGATTGTTTTCTTCATGGTATCTTTGTTGGTACAGCCACCATTGGTTAGGACTTCAGGAGCTGAACTTAAGGCTTTACATGTTAGAGTAACTATCAGCAAAATTAGGAACTGACAGAGGAACCAACCAATCACACTTTGATTCAAAATGGGTGGAACCAATATCTAGACAAAAAATGTCACTCCAGCTCAGCGGTCGGCAACCCAAATGTTAAGAAGAGCCATTTTGCCCTTTCGACAAAAATCAAACCACCTTGAGAGCCACAGCATTTTATGTCCATTTTACTGTCCATTTAACTGTAAATATGTCTCAGAATGTGCTGATGTACTAGTATAGGATAAAAATATAATATAAACAAAAATGCAGACTTTGCTCTGCTTTAAGCTTTAGTTCAGCTATAGCCATTTCTTGCATCTCTGGCAGGAAATTGTTCCACAAATGTGGAACAGTTTCTTGTAAAACGTCCCTGAATATTTAACTTTTTTGGAGGTTGAAACCGCTTCTCACTCGTCAGCTTCTTGTTTGAATTGTCCCGTTCCACCTTAAATGGTGCCCGTTTGGTTGACAGTTTCTCACTGCAGATTAAACGTATCAGGAAACCAGCTGGAGTGATTATAAACACAAATAAGTCCATTCGTCTCCAAATTATCGATGTTCGTCTTAAATGTCTCTCTTTGCCTTATTGTTAGCTACCAGCTAGGCAAAACTGTTGTCTGTGTTGCTATGGTGGTTTAATTTGTATCTAAAATCTAATTCTGCTGTGGAGCCACAACAGGGCAGTAAAAGAGCCGCATGTTGCCGACCGCTGATCTAGACCATCTAGAGGTTCTAAATGGATCATTCAACCAAATTGGTTTGAAGACAGGGTTGAAAACCCATTTTGGACTTTTAACTGACTTGGACTTCAGACTTAAATCCTTTTGTTTTGAATGATCCTATGCCTTCCCTGCTGAAAAAAAAACCCCATCTTAGGCCAGCATGCTGATCTAAGCTGAGTTATGCTGGTTAATGCTGGTTTATGCTGGTCTGGTGCTGGTTTAGCTAATAATGCTTTAGTAGTTCCATCAATAGTTTCCTTATGTGGGAATTTGAGATGTAAACAGAGTCGTTCTGAGTGGTTTGATGTGAAATGGTTCACTGTAGAGAAACTTAGACTTTCTTTACAGTGGTGTTGATAGGAACCAGGGCTCACAACACAATTACAGTTGTATTCAAAAGTTTTGGCACCGCTGCTCAAATGACATGTGTTGTTGAGCTATAAGTAACCACATCCTCTACAGCGAACGCACTTCTGCACATTTTAATGCACAGTTACTGTATATTAGCCGGACTTAACACATTGGGAAAATACGTGGCCTGTGCAAAAGTTATGGCACATAATATATTTTATATTTAATTTCTTTTCCAAAAATGTTATACTCTGTGCTGTAGTTCAGTGTGTTCCCTGTAGAGGATGTGTTCACTTATTTTCACTTATGAACTCAACAAAATGTATGATCAAGCTTCTCCGAGGCAGAACAAGCCAGTAGCGGGTCAGACAGTGTACAACGGTGATGACGGTGAAATAGTGGTAAATATAGAAAACACTATTTTGTCTCACACCACCCTGTGCTCCTCCATCGTTTAATAAAACGGATTCACATTTTTTACTTTTATTTCTCAAAACTGTTGTAAAACAAGAAGCAGTTCTGACATTTTAGTGATTAACTTGTGCAGCAATTTTGAAAAATTGGTGGAGTTCCCCTTTAAGCACATGTAACTGAGTAAACATAGCTAGTCTGATCTAATATAGCCATCATAAAGGCCTAGACAGGCATTGAGACACAGCCACAGCCTTTATGACTTATTCCCTAGAAACTAGCTCACTCCGTAGGGAGCTAGGACGCGCTTTGGGACTCACCCGGCTCCTCAGCCCGCACACAGCGGCTCAGCCCGCCCCGCTGCCCCGCTCTGAGCTAACGGAGCTGTGGGTGGGCGGGTCCCTGTATATAACTAGCGGATCACCTACCCTGCACTAAAGCACAGTTTTTCACCTGAGCAAAAACACAGAGCGCAGCCAGCCTTCTAGAGCGAGCTGACCAACACCCTGACCATGAACAGGACTCTGCTGGGCATCTTTGCAGTGGCGCTGTGCTTCACAGTGGGTAAGAAGCTGTACTCTCATTTTTACTGCTCTAATATTCGTCTGTCTTGCTGTTTTATCGTTTGGTGCGCGTTTGCTGTTGATTATTAACAACAAACATCGTTTTTTTCACGTTTTTTAAACGTGAAAACGGCTATTGTGCAACGTCCCCTGCTGAAAAAGACCATTGGAAACTATTATGGGTTTGCTTTATAATAGGAACTGGCTTGGAAAACACTTTACTAGTGTGGAAAACTATCAGATGCACTTAGAATCAACCACTGGTCACCTGTTAAGTCATTGGAGTCCTTTACATTGTGATTTCAACCCATTAAAAAGCCAAAATATATTACAAAATCATCAAGAACCAAGAGTTTATGGTGTCGGCGGGTTTTTTTCAGCAGGGTTATGAAGGTAGACATCACATAGGCTGCAAAATGAGACTGGACAGTGCTCTTTTTGTGACTTTGAATGAGTTTTAACAAGTTTTTATTGAGTTTAATGAGCTCAGATCTGCTTGTGTTTGGAGCAGCTCATGTGTTGGAGCCCACCTGACCGTCAGAGAGAGGGAGGGAGGGTGGAGAGACATAAACAAGCACTGTTTAGAACTGTTAGATCTCTTTTAACCTCATGCAATCCCAATAGTATCACTGTTATGAATAATCCGCAGTAAATCATCCCCTCAGCTAACGGTAAATATGATTTGAAGATGAATAAAAGGTGATTTGAGCCACGCCCTACAGGCCTTCTGGTAGACCGAGCCTCTGTAACTGTTCAGGGCCCGTTACTCCTCAGCTGTGTGTACAAATCAGTGTGTTTATGTGTCCAGTCTGAATGTGTCACACCTCTCTGAGTCACCAGCGTATGAGTGGATGTCAAGCAAAAAGAGCGAGGAACAAAAAACACGGCAGCCTCTCCCTCTTTAGTGTGTCACAGTGTTCCTCTTAAATGACGGCCCTGTCAAACTTGTTTCGTGTAGCGGGAGCTCCTCACTGCACTGCTTTACCGTGAGAATCACAGCCCAGAGTGATCAGACCAAGCCTTAGAGAGATTAGACCGGTATAGTTCTCAATAATAACAGTCACTGGAAAAGCAGTGGACACTTGAGTTCTTTTCAGAGGTCGGTCCTAGTTAGATTTACTGAATGGACGGACTATTTTCATATCGGACACTGCAAAAAACAGCATCGTGTCCAGTGAAATTATTTTAACGCTATAAATTTATAAATCTATATCCAATATTTCTGCTGTTGAGATTGTTGTAAGCTTATTTTAAGATTATTTAACTTATTTCCAAACATTTTTACCTGTTTTAACTAAAATTATCTCACTATACTGGCAGATCATTTTGCTGGTTTTAAGAAATGTGCTTGAAACAAGCTACATTATCTGCCAGTATAGTAAGATAATTTTGCTTAACAACATTACTTAAAACAGGTAAAAATTTTCTAGAAATAAGCTAAATAATCTTAAAATCAGCACACAACCATCTCAAAATAAGAAATATTACATATATTGACTAGAATTAAGATAATTTCACTTGAAAAGATATTTTTTGCTGTGTAATGCTGTAGTATGTCCAAGAAATGCTTGTCAGTTTTAGGTTATGTTTTCTAGTTTGCTTTGCTGTAGCCTCTTCTTGTGGAGGGTGGGGCTCAGTACCAACCGGGGGCTGTGTATGTGTGTGAACCAGGAGAGAGCTGTTAGAGTCAGAGAACGAGCTGTTAGAACAGAGAAAAACTATGCGTATGTATGGTGTAGCTGTGGCCGCCAACAGCTGGAGAATAAAGCACCATGTCTTGTGCGAAAGCTGTGTTGCTTTTAACGCTACAAAACTTTTACTTCTCCTTTTCCTTCTGCTCAAAGTTGATCAAATAGGAGTGTTTTGAGCCTGGATTTAAAGTGTCCAGTGTTGGAGCTCTTCTGATGCTCTCTGTCAACTGGTTTCATTTAGTAGCGAAACGCTGCTTCTCCATGTTTAGTTTTCACCTTCGGCAGGACTAACTGACGAGTTCCTAATGATCTCAGAGTTCTGCTCAGCTCATTTTGCTGCAACATCTGAAATAAACATGCTGGTCCTGTACCATTGAGTGATTTATAGCCCAGTAACAGCTACTTAAAGTCTATTCTGTATCAGACTGGTAAGGATTTAAGAATGGGGGGTGGTGTGTTCCCTTCTTTTACTCCTAGTGAGACTCTGGCAGCTGCATTTTGAAGCTGAAGTTGTTTGATTGTCTTTTTCGGGAGTCCAGTTAGGAGACCATTACAGTGATCAACTCTGCTAGAAAGGCGTGGATGAGTTTCTCCAGGTCTGCTTTAGTCAGAAAAAAATCTCTGATCTTGTTGATGTTCTTAAGATTATAAAAATATATTATCTGCTTTGACGCGACATCTGAAACTAAGATCACAATCCATTAGTACACCAAGGTTATGTACTAGTTCTGTAGATTTTAAGGCTCTTGAATCCAGATAAGCAGCTACTCTTTGCCTCTTTTTCCCGAGTCTGTATTCAAGCGAATGTCATTAATAACTTTAATTAGGGTCGTTTTAGTGCTATGATGAACCTGACTGAAATTTGTCTAGACAGATATTTAAGGACAGGAAGCCAATAAGTTTTTCAATGTAAGGTAGATTTGAAATCGGTCTGTAATTACTTAATAGAGTTGCTTCTATGTTATTCTTTTGTAAGACAGGCGTCACAACCACAGTTAATTTGTTGGGAAAAATGCCCAACAGGAGTGAGGAGGTGTTTACTATCTGAAGTATTTTGGTTTGTTAACATGTCAGGACTACAAGTGGAGGATTTGAGATGACTCACTATATTGAGTAAAATTTCATTATTGATGGCACTAAACTGGGACATTTTAACCATGATATCTCTATGTGGTGATGGAGTGGTCAAGGGCTCTCTGGTGGATATAGATGTGTTAATGGTTTGCCTGATATTATGGACTTTAATGTTAAAAAAAATGTGCAAACTCACTACATTTCTCAGTTGATACTAATTCAGGGGCCATATATGTAGGTGATTTGGTTAGTTTGCCAACCATGGTGAAGAGTATTCCGCTGTTGTTGGCTCAACAGTGGAAAATAGGCCATAGTTTTACACCAAAAGTATCCAAACAAGAGAACAGAGTGTGAAGATTTCAGTTCTGGTGCTGTTTGACTCAGTTTGACTCAATACTTTTGTACTTCTACTCAAGGTGTTTTTGGGAAGGTATTTTTTCTGGAGTTATTATTTTTCCTAAATATTAATACTTTTTCTTGTGCTTCTTTTTTCCTTTTAACAAATCTGTTTGATCGGACCTGAAACCAATCAGACAAATCTGATTTTGTTGCAATTTGTTAACTGTAACCACTAACGTGGTCCCCCCACTGAGCTGGTCTGTGCCATAGATGCTGATAAAGTTTGCTAATATCACTATAAAATAAGGTGTTAAATAAAAAAGTTGTTCATAAGCTTGCTAAACTGCATCTAATGACATATGCAGATCAGATGATGCCAGAGTGGACCAGCTCAGAGGGCGGGGCCACCTTGGCCACCACTACAGCAATGCTCTTATTAATGAAAAAGTTTTTAACAAACAACCTAAAGGTATTTGCTACTGGATCATGCTTGTTAATTGTAAAAAAAGCTGTTTCTGTTATTCTGGCCACTAATTCGTAATTTTGCGCCTTAAGTTGCACAAAGTAATGAAAATAATACCTTTATTTGTAGAACACTTTTTATAAACGTACATCGTTCATATACAACTGTCATAATCATTCATTTTTTTAGCTAACAAGTAATTGCCATGTAAATAACTGCAGTGATACTCACCGCTGCCCTCTATGGATGTTATTAATAAACACCAAATAAACAAACTTTAAATTTCTGTTTTTTATTTATTTCATTTTCATGCATGAGCCTCTGTCCAACTGACCAACACGCCTGATTCAGATTCTGCTTGTTGTGATGTAAACAAACAAATCTCAAAACTGAACAACTAACTGGTCAGCTTACATATTTGAGGTCAGGTGATTGTGTAATAATTGCAACAGGTGGCTTAAAGTGCTGGCAAAGTTCAAAATAAAAGCGTAAACAGGGTAAAAGCAGAAAGATAAAAGCAGAGTAAGGTTACTCAAGAATGATAGGCATGTGTCAAGAGACCCACCCAGATCGTGCTGGAACTTGCCTTGGTAGCCACAGATGACAGGCAAATCCAAGGTGTGGGTGGAAGCAGGTGGATAGAGGAGCCTAAAGTTGTTCTCAGGGTTTGTTTTTGCAATGAAATTTGAACTTGAAGTAAAACTAGTTATCAAAACCAACTTGGTGAAAAAAGGAAGTATCCAATCAAAAACTTCTCCTGTACTGAGTTCTCATAGACCTGCAGTATGCATATTCTTCTCTTTTTGGTCTATAATAAAATGCTAAAGCTCCGAAATGAGAAGCTGAACCAACTAAGCAGCATGAAATTAAACTCGAAATGAAGAACTAAGTGAAGGTCTAAAGTCAAACTGAGCTAAATGTAGATTCATTTCCTCAAAAAATCATTTGATACAGAGTCATTTCATTTCCAGTCAAAACGGCGATTAAGTACAAATTATTCATTTTTCAGCGTCAGGCAAAAATCAGAAGACATATTTAATAGGCTGTTACACAGAAACCTCAACAATCTAATATAATATAATTTTTTCAGCGTTCAGTTTGTCCACTCTTTACCTTCCATTCTTTTCAGAAGGCTCGTTTTCCGTCTTTCAAAGACATTTCCAGGGATAATTTTCCACACCTCCAAAGTTTAGTCTTAGAAGTTGGTTCTCACCATCCAAGCATTCTCAAACTTTACACTAATGAGTCCATAAAGCCTTAGTCCACCACTCAGTTGTCCAGATTTGGTGTTCTAGTGCAAATGTCCTTCTTTTTCCTTTTCTCAGTGAGGTTCTTCTTGACAGCTACACATCCTTTCAGACCCACAGCGCTGAGTCGTCTTCTCACAGTGGAAGGATGGACAGAAACACCTGTGGATGTTTTCAGATCTGAAGC